CTACAGATAGATACAACTCGTAAATGATCAGCAAATACAAATCTCTGCACTCTATTTATTATACTTATGCATAATGCAATGGCATTAATAATGGCTACCCAACAAAACTCAATGTATAGCCGATATTTGTTCTGATGAATCACGTGCACATGTAAAACCGCATTTACGAGATGTTATATATATACCTAAAAATTTTCGAAATTTATTAATAAAATGAATTATACTTATTCTGGACATCTCTTATTCACCACCACATCATCATCAAAGTAGTTCCCTTGAGAGCCGTCAGGAGAAAACGTCCAGAGAAGTAGGACACGAAGAATTGTATCCTTTATCACGACAAGCACAAAACTGTCTCTTTTGCCGTGACACAGTTTTTGACATCTAAGAAGATGGCAATCGTCTCCCATATCTTATTCGTCCGATTTGCGGTTTCCTGTAATTTCTACTCTTCTCAAAAATTAAGATAAAAGTTCAAAGATTTTGAGTCTTTGTAGAGGATATTCAAATTAAATCGCGGATGACAAACACTCTGACGAAAAAGAATTTTTAAGATGAATTCGAATTATCTATATGCTCTCAAAGGAACTACTTTGAAGGTGACGATGGTGAATAAGATCCAGAGTAAAGTTTTTATTTATTTTACAAAACATAAACTTTTGGGTAGTACATTTGTATATAAAATTTAATATTTTAATCGCAAAATATTTGTAAAGACGTCGTATTGAATCATCATAAAACTAATTAAAAAGCAACTCATCATTAGGAATTGTGTAAAAGTTCAAGTGTTTTAATATAAGAAAAACTCCTAATAGCATTAGGTTATTGTGGAATGTTTTAAGAAACATTTTTTAAGAAAATATTTAAAGAAGAACTTTGTATTCCAATTGTAAATCAAAACTGTCTATATTACAAAGTGCAATATAGAAATCTAAAATTCGAAAACAAATACATACATATATGAATTAAACATTTATATCACAAAAAAATAAAATGGGAACGCTCTTTTTTATAAATAGTAAACACATAACTGCAGCCACTGCTTAATTAATTATTTAATAGTAATTATAATTATTATAATAGTCAAACCTGTTGTATTATTATTAAAGTAGAAAATATTATTGAAGAAATTTGTTCTAAAAATTCGTGGATATGTTCAATTGTTATTAATATAAATTTAACTTAATTACTGCTAAATAAAATCGCTTATTTCTAGGAAACATTGTTGTATTGTTTGCGGGAAATATAATTATGAACTACCAAAGACCTTACCTAATTTTTTAAAAAAATATTAGTTGTTCTTTAATGGTTATTTATATACTGTATTTAGTTTCTACAAAAAATGTATAATTTTTATTATTTTTAATTATCTATATCATATAGTATATCTGTTAATTATTTAAATTTAATATATATAAAATATTTAGTTCTAATTATTTGTAACACAAATTCTTTTTTGAAAAGATATAAATATAATAATATTTAATAATCTAATTAAATTTAATACATATTTTAGAACTTAGAATTATAATTGTTTGACACATCTATTCAACCATTATATCTGATAAAGACGAGACAAAAGGAAACAAATATTGCATGCAGTAAGATTGTATATAGAATAATATAGTAATTAATATATCTTTTCTTTCACATATATTCATATAAATATTAGAACTTTAACTTTTTGGATTATCATGTTTATCTTAAAAAATAGAATAATAGAATAATCTAAAATAAATATTAAAAAATTGAATTTAATAGTTGTTTGTTACATGTACATTTTTTGACTTTATTTATTTTAAATAATCCTCCTTTATTTATTTTAAATAATCCTCATTTTATCACAAAAAAGATACAATTGAATTAATAGAACTTTTCTGCGTTCTTATTTGAGACTCTAACAAAAAATTTTAAGTGTATTTTTAACATTCTTTTAAACTTAAACAATAAATATCCATTTACATACTTCATGTTTTACACATCTTAAAATATTATTTATAAAAAATTAAAAATAAATAAAATAGAAATATAATAACAAATAATCTTACTTCTTATTATTTATTCACTTCAAACCAATAAACAACCAATACATGATTCAGGTATAGAACTTTCCTAATAGACCTTATATAAATTTCGTGTATTTTTTAAATTCATAAAAAAATTTTTTAAATGCAAATAGTAAACATGATCTCTTGTAAAAATTGTTTTTTATGTTGAGCAAACAAAATAGGTAATCAAAAATATAAATTTTCAAATTCATATTAAAAGAAATACGTTGCAATATATTTAGTTTTAAATTACAGATTTTTCTCTTGAACCATACATTTTTAGGATAATGTAAAAATTTTGTTCGATGCTCCTTTTCTTGGAAAAAGATTTTTGTTTTTAAAAAGCTTCGTTTATTGAATGTTTTCATGAAATCACTTAATAGTATAGGTATTAAATCACATAAAGATGTGTAAGTTTAAGCAGATTTTTTAAAGATATTTTTGCGTACTTGTTTATCTTATACTTATTTATTTATTGTCTTTAGTTAATTCTATCCTACAATATTAATAAATTTTTGCCAAGAGTGGTCTGAAAATATGGATAGATCAAAATACATCCGGGAAAAACTTTTTATATATAATTATATATATACATATATATATATAATTATATATAATTATATAATTATACATGTAATTGTAAAATTAAATGTAAAGATTTCAATTTTTATACATAATTATATAAATTTATATATAAATTATAAGGGTTCATATATAATCATGTCAAATTATATATATGAAACATATATATTTATACATATATATGAAGAAATACTTATTCATTATATAAATATATATATATATATATATATATATATAAATTTGTTTAATTTATATATAATAAGCACTTTTATCGTATTATGAATGATCTATTTATATAATTATATATGAAAGCACTATCTATTATACTCATATTTTATATATAATTTTGCGATTATATGTAAAATTTTATTACGCATTAGCTTCATTAATTCAATTTTTTAATTCTTTTTCATATAGTGTTCATTGTAGAGCAAAGTTATATCATTTTCAAAATAGAAAAATATTTTTCTCTTCATAAATATCTTTTCTTAAACTAATATTAATAGCATAAAAGGAGATTGTTTTTATAATTTGTCACATTTTATACTTTTCAAACTTATTAATTTTTTATATTTACTCGTATTCTTTATTCACGGCACTTAATCTTATGAACAGGTCAGAAAAATATATAATATTCAGAAAAATGAGCGTGTTACACAATAATAACTTCTCTATAAAAATGTCATTGAATTGTCGGTTAAACGAGAGGAAAGCTGCCGACCAGACTTCTATGTACTAATGGTGACGTCAGCGAACGTTTCAGACTCCAATTAGTCGAGGGACACGCATAATTGGAATTAAGCTTTTAATTACTAGTTAATTAGCCGCTGGCGGTGCCGGTGACAGCAGGAACAGAAACGTAGTAACGAGAATCACCCTTAGAGAAGAGAGCTTCATTGTACGTGCAGGCACCGTTTCAGGGCTGCTTTTCGCTCGTTAATTCGACATTAATTTACAATTGATAATTATTTTTGACCAAAACGAATTCTACTCGTAATCATGCATAGAAGAAACTATTGTGAGCCGTATCGCAACTCGCTACATTAGAGAAATTACCGTTTAAGCATTTCACAAAAATTTCACAAAAGTTTCCTAATTGCAACATACAATTTTTTTTGATAAAAATGTGTGCATAGCAGATAATTATAAACTGATATAATTAATTGATTAATTTTTTAAATTAAAAAAGACTTTATCCATTAAGTATACAATGAAAATATAGACACTATATATACAATATGTATATGATATAAATAATCTCATCTCTCTACATGTCTTCAATATTTTCATATAATACAACATAATTATACAACTTATAGATAGACAGAAAAATATTTTTGTAATATTTTTACTATATTCGAAGAATAAAAAATATAATAATTAGGGAAGAAATGTATAAGAATGTGTAGATAAATAATATTCGCATCTCTTTCATTAAATTTTATTGCGCTCAATATAATCTACTTGATATGTGGCAATATTTTGGCAAAATTTTTATTTCAATTTCTTTGAGTAATATGATTTATATAATATAAAAAATTTTTTATAACACATAACATTTTATAAATACAATTATATATGTATATATATATATGTATATATATATATATATATATGTATATATATATATATATATGTATATATTGTATATATATATGTATGTATAAATTTTTAAATAATTAAATTAAAAATAATAAAAATAGTTTTATGTGTGTAGATACTATGTATTATATAATGTAAAGTATATATTATCTTGTAAAGGAACAACTTTATCAAAAAAATTTATCTCAAGAAAATGAGTATTAAAAGAGTGAACGAGTTAAATTAATGAATTAATTCAAAAGAAATGAAATAAAATAATTAATTTAGCTAGGTCGACATTTTTATCGTAAAATAAAGCGAAAAGGAGAAAAATGAAATTGATGAAAAAGCAATCGGGGAAATACAGAACCCGCTCATTTTTAGGCGCATGCCAGATTGATATCAGAGTCCAGAGAATCATTGCCAAGTCTGGTATAATAGGTAATTTGATACGCGATGCATGCACGGTTTCAGCACACAGAGCCGTATAATTATCAATTATAGATAATGCTATCAAATAATGAGCTGCAAATTCAGTGAAATATTAATCTCGACACGCTCTTATTTTTTGTAGCGCACAAAAATATTAATTCATAACATATTATATTTTATAATTATGCTTTTATTTTTTATCCCAAAAATTTTGCGATGCATAAAAATAATAATAATCAAATAATAATAATAGATATATAAAAAAGAAAAGCACTTTCGTACTTTATTGATTTCTTAAAATTACGCAAACATATAATATAGGTACATGTATTATTTATGCTTGTTCCTTTTTTATAGGTGTCGGACACAACATAGAATCAGGGAAGGACTTTACAGTGGACGGGCTCTCGGGTTTCAGCAAAAAGAAGAAAAAAAAGCGTCGTCATAGGTGAGTCTCTGACAGAAATTTCAGCTTTTGTGTTTTCCATCTCGGAAGACTACATTAATTTAAAAACTCAATTCAATCACATTTTAATCACAAAAATATATCTGCGTTTATCGATTTGAAGTCGACAAACATTTTGTTTGACTTAAAAAATTTTTTTCATATAGATATACATATAATAATTATACTATAATATATATATATATATATATATATATAGTAAAATAAATTAGAGAGACTATATATATATATATATATATATATATATATATATATAGTCTCTCTAATTTATTTCTTTGTTTCGAAGAAACAGAATAGATTGCATTGATACAAAGTCTGATTTTATAGCATTCAACTAAAACTGGAAACATAGAAATAAAATATTATAAATGCTCGCTCATTCTATCATTATATATTGTACGATAACGATTATAGAAATTGAATCAGCTGCCGATGTAAAATCGAACGTCTGAATGTAATCGCACATTTTGCGGAAGATGATTACGCAGCGCTTTAACAAATCGAAAACTTAATTATACTTTTAGAATATAGCCATACAATTCTTGCCGTAATTACAGAGTCCATGTAATATATATATTCATGAAACATAGTAATATCTTCCATATTAGAGAGATTAATTATTTTAAAATAGTTTGTACAGATGTAATCGAATCATTGTAATAACAAGTGACATAAGGATTCATATATAAAATTATACTGTTATTAGTAGAAATATTATCAATAGTTCTTTCGTACTTAAGAAAATGAAATTATTTTAAAACAGAACAGACAAATTTAGAAACAAAATTTAACTATAGTCCGTACGGGGATGATAATAATTTTATATTTATTGTATATATATATTTTTTTATTATATTATATTTTATTTTATTAGGAGAAAGCTATATCGGGTACCCCCGATAAAGTAAATATTGAAATTGCAATAAAGTTATCAAAAAAATGACAAAATTTTATTATTTAAAACTATGGTCCTTTGTCAACGATATACGCTAAACATTAATACAAATTTATCATTGTTTCATATCTTAACTTAAAGATTAAAAAAGTAGTATTTGATACGATTTACAATACCGGTTTGTTAAATCGTACCTCTAACAATAAAATTAAAAAATTGTAACAAAAATAAAGTTTTATTTCCTACAAAGTTCTCAATTTGCAACAAAACATATCTATAAGAATATTATGTTTTCATAATCATAAATTTTTTTGAAAAATTCAACAAAAATATTTTTTGTATAATAGAAAAAATATAAAGTATTATTTTAATACAATAATTATAAAATTTGTTATTTTCTTCATTTGTCCATCTAAATATAAAGAAAAAAGTTAATGCTTAAATAAAAAATTAATGTATTAAATTACATCAGAATACAATACAGAAAAAAGTTAGTATAGTACGTTTATCGAACTTCCATTGCTTTATCAAAATTTTTGCAAATTTGTGAATAAAAAAAAACAATTGTAAAACATTTTGCCTATTTTTAAACGTTTTGATAAATAAGATTTAAATAAGATCACCCCCAAAAAAATACTTTATAATAATAAATTTCACTGCTTATCTTTCCTAATGTGATAGCTTAAGCACGGGATGCCAAATATTATATAAAAGTCACAAAAAATACATTTACAAACTTTAACGTGGATCGTGTGAGAAGGAAATAAACATTGCAAGTGAGACCAACACTGCGATGCAACATTAATATTTTATAATATTTTAACTTTACTTAAGAAATACAGTAGAGATACGATTTATTTAGCATATACCTTCCCCTATTATGTTTTATATTGTATTTTATGTTACAAACAACTTTGAACACAGATTGCAATTTTTAAACATATTTTAATACTCCCAAGCGGTCTTTTCTTTAAGGATACTTTAATTTTAGATCGTAATTTTTATATAGACATACCTTTTAGCTTAATTATGACAAATACAGGTGCTATTTACACACAAAAACATTTTTTAATGTACAAAAATAAATTTCAAAATAGCTTATTGGCATCACGAGGATTCTATTCGAGGATTCGAAATCAATCTGGTAGAATTTGAAACGATTACGCGGCAATAATCTTTAAACAAGTGTACACAGAGAAAACCGAGGCAGAATTGTCGACGATTTTCGTGTGTCCGACTTAACAAGCCGATGATCGTCCGGGAAATGACTTTCAATTTCGAAGCTTTCGTTTCGGCCCACAAAGGCCAGATGCCAGCTCGTTCTCTGCGCAACCTACAATTTGTCGAATCGCAAGACTAATTGGACATCTTGCCGTCAAATTCGCTTCTCCGCGGTTTCTGTCGTATCACGTAGCCTACATATGCGCCTTCTGGCGCATGGATATTCATCTTTCATCAACTGTTCATCATATTGCGAGGTTATGCATCTTGCTTATAAAAAAAAGTGAATTATAATCATCGGTTACTGACTGGCTCATTTCTCATACGTACATCGTATCTACTCTATTGACCGAAAAACGTGTTTTTGTTTGTAATTAATCGAAAACCACAATGATAGGAATATGCTGGCAGCTACTTAAGAAAACTAGAATTAACAATTGTCAATTTTGCGCACTAATATTAAAAATAATAATGTAAAGTAGTATATTTTAGACGTTGTCACAATATTTGTTATAATAAATGAAGCACTAACTTCTCTAATCAAATAAGTGAGAAAATTTATTTAAGTACCTCTAATTAAATCTCTAAATACAGAATATATTGTAATACTTGTCACACGAGCTTTCTCGCAAGAATAGGGTAGATTTAAGGTAGAAGCGCTGTAATGGCATATAACTAGGTTCATGTGGTTGTTGCTCCAGGACGATCTTCACATCACAGCAACTGGAGGCGCTGGAGGCAGCCTTCAAGGAGGCCCATTATCCTGACGTCTATGCTCGCGAGATGCTAAGCTTGAGAACCGATTTACCTGAAGACAGGATACAGGTGAGCAAGAATTGAAACATTAATTCTTACGTAAAAATTTTATTTATTCTAATGAAACAGTTTACAAACTAACATTAAGGCGAAATTAAAACTAAAATAATAAATCGAAAAGGCTCTAATATATGTAAATACAAATTAGTTAAGTACAAAATATACTAACCTTTTTCATACCTAAATTCAAAATTAAAATGTCACTACTTGAAATTAAATTTCATTGGAATCGCTATTTAGAAAACATTTAAATATAACTAAATTTCTAGAAATTTAAACAATATTATATGCATGATCAAAGGCAAAACAAATTGAATAAATCATTATAATTAATAATCTATTTAAAAAATCATTGTTTTTTATGATATAATTCAACTTTTATATTATCATGTTCAATCTCTGATCTGTTTTTTTTATAAAATATAAACATAATTTAGAAAATTATGTATATAAAATTACAGTTTTAATGGGTTACATTTAACTATTTCATTTAAAAACATTTATATTTTAATAGTCAATTTTAATTGTCGCATTTTTTACAAACTACAAATCAAATCTTAACAGTATAAATAAAATATATAAATAAAATATAATATATAGAAATTACTGTTTCACACATACACACAAATATACGCACACGTGTACTACTATGATTTTAAAAACAATAATCTACAAAATGACCACGATTTTTCTTTACAAACTTTTGGGATTATCAACGCGATAATTCCAACTTTGGCAAAAAGTGACTTTGCAATAGACGACGTTTCGTCAAGGATAAAATATAACAGCAAACCAGAAGCCGCGATCATAAAAGAGAATTTTCCTAAGAGCTGACGGTTAGTTACGACGAGTCTATGGAATAGTAGGTTGAGATCAGTTTCTGCATGGTGGAACAAGATCTTCCTTTTTCACTCTTTTCCGGTGTCCCTCCCTTTATGTCTCTTTTCTGCTAGTTACGTTCTCGAATTCTGTCTTTCTTTCTCTTCCCTAACCGTTTTCTTCCCAAGAGATTTTTTCTTTCTCATCTGTATTCTCTTCTCAACTACTACACCAAACGAAACAATATACTCTCACGTATCTAATACAAACACATAAAAGATGCGTAAAATGCTCTGTATTTTTTATTTGGCCATTTTGTACGAACTCTCTTAAAACAATTTCACCATATAAATGATATTTAAGCTTAAGAAGATTATTGCAAATGCAAAAGTGTCTAAACATTGTCATTGTCTAAATAAATTTTTCTTTAGTATTATTGGCAATAAAACATTAAGAGTTCATAATTATTTCGATATAATTATATTTATAAAGATAGAAAAAAAACAACCGTTTTTATACAGTCTCCGAAAAATCATTGAAATATCAATTTCTATTTAAAAATATAATACGAGGAACGAGGTTATATAATACTTGTTATGATAATAATTTTTTACTACTCATAAAATCACATGAATATCATAAAAGTTACATCATCACAACACATCTGTTACTCTTTATATAAATATAATATTATATTAAGAATATTTTGTGAATGTTATTAAAAATATTATTTAAAAAATATATTTTTTTACAGGGTTACATTTTATTTTAGCATTTCTGAATATTTCTTCTAATGTTATTCTTACAATAAATGCTCAAATATTCCATCATTACACTTTACACCTTTTCCGACACATTTTTCATAACATATTTTGAAGCTAATTGTTATTTGTACAATTGAACAATGCAGTTTGCTCTTTTAAATTATCCACCGATACGAAAAAATGTCGAATATCATCAAATATTGACTTTTTGATTACTTCACTTAATACTTTTGTACGTAGAATAATGAAACGAATTGATTTATGTAAAAAATATAGTTGATTTAAAAAAAGTGCATTTGCAACCCAGACAACACAATGACGTATTAAAAATGTATTAAAAATATATTACTAGACATTAGATTGGTTTTCGGATTTGAACCGGACAAACTTTTTATTTATTTCTCAACATTTTATAAATATTTTAACTCACTTTATCAGAAAGAAACAACCTGTACTATATCGTACAAGAGACAAGGGATCCGCGGTGTTACCTCTGTATTTTAAAAGTGTTATATTTTTGAATAGTATTTATCCTAAATATATCACCATGATACATGCTATTTGCTTGCGAAATAGAAAAAAGAGGAAAAAAGGAAACGTCGAAAATCAATATTTAAAGTAGAATTCCAGCAGCCCGTAAACAGGTAATCTAGACAATACTCATCCGAGTAACTCAATACTAATTGAAAGATCACATCTAGAGGGCTACAATATTTGTTTTAGATACTAATCGATGTGAACCTACTGTAAGCAACAAAGAACTTTATTGTGTAGACTCTACGAAAATCACTTATTACTATCAGATTGTTCCTCCCTGATGAAGTAAGCTGAAATATTCACGAAACGTTGAAATCGAAAAGTTCAAACCTAAAAAGCATTCTAATATTCATGTATACCGCGAAAGCTTCAAATATCATACATATTGAACGTTTTATATACGTATTTAATACATTCAGATTAGAGTGTTAGATATATCTTTAAGACATTTTAAAGATGTTCAGTGTTACTTTCTATGGATAATGGAAAAGTGTTCATTTTAAGGACTAAGCAGATTAAAACTGGACCTGTTTCGAACATTGAACGTATTTTTAAAGTAGGTAGATGTAAGTAAAGTATTGTACATTCCTAGTATTTTATATAACATTAAAAAGTTACAAAAATATTGCAGACATTCTAAAGACATACGTATTTATTGAAATTTCGACCTAACTGGCCAGTACAATTTGATTTTAAAACACTGTGTTTCGACCCTTAGGTACGGGTCCTTTTCAAGTGTAACTGCACAATAAAAATATATACAATGATTAGGGTATGAAACAATAATTTACAAAGTTGTTAACGAAGAAATTTAAAATGTTATAAAAATATAAATAATAAAAATAATGTAATGTACCTGTCAAGATGTTGATTCGACATAGCAGTAAAATTACTAATGTTAAAACGGAGACAAGTAAGACATTCTAAAGAGATAAGCAAAAATTTGTTAGAACTGTGTTAATTCATTCTGTTTATATCCATGATACTTATTGGATATCCGACTATTTTAATCTTAATAATCGTTTTTTGCAAGTTTTATATCATTCTCAAATCTTAAATAGATAACACATTGTGCGTCGCATAAATGAAGGAATTAACGATTACTGAATACTGTTTCTTATAACATTTTCGAATCTTGCTATAAACATTTTTCATCAAATATTACAGTTACATGTTTTTATAATGTTTTTTCAATATTGCATTATACGACTTGTAAGATTATTACATTGCTGCAATGCAATTAAAATGTTTTGTACTGTATATACTTTGAACGTTTAATAATGGATAATGGATCTTAAAATGTTCATATTATATCTAAATGGACGTTTATATAGACTAAATAAAAACCAAAACTGGACATCCATTAGACATTCTGCTGTGCTGTCTGAGAACGGACAAAAGTATAGTGTCACAGAAAATTAGTCCTCAGTACGTCATGCAATATTTTCCTCTACCTTTTTTTCCCTATCTTCACTTATAAAATAACAGTATATCCCGTCCCAATTATATCCCAGAAACACCCATCCTGTAATAAAACAATTTGTCATATTAAATGACGCAGCAGTGTATTTCAAAAATTCGTTGAAAATCCGGGCTCTGTTCTCTACTATCGTAGACACAGAGGAAAAAGAAATCTCCAAGAGCACATAGAATGTTTGTGACGCCACGATCGCGCGTGCACGCGTATATATCGTACATCAGAGATGCTCAAGTGGATTCGGTTAAGAGTCCCCTCGCGCACACCGCGCTCGTACATTCCCACCACCACTAACTTATCACGCTTGTCGATTCGCATCGTAGACTAGGGGAAATGGAGAGGAGGAAGGGCAACGAGTGCGTAGTGGGAGAAAATGGCCCGCGGGCCACGACTCGGACACGATTCTGTACATACGTGAATGAGTATACACACACATACGTATGCAATAAACCTGCACGCGGCAGTCGGTGATTATATTTTGATATAATTCGAGGTACAAGAGAGAACGAGAGAGGGCGGCCGCGCCGCGAACGTTGGGGGTAGTGGCTGATGGGCCAAGTAGGATGAAAGCTGGGTAGGAGGGGAGGATTGGAGAGTCGTAACGGCACACGGGGTTGTCGAGGCTGCCTGAAGCGTGCAGGCGCGTACACACAGAGCACACCGTGGAACGACAAAGCGGCCATTACAGGATGGGTGCGGTCCCGCGGGCCAATCAGAGAGTGGTGCCGGGGACCGGCCGGCCAATCAGGACGCGCTTTCTACCCGTCTTTTGTTTCTAAATTTGCTCGCGCGACGGGGACACAATATAACGAGGCGCGAGACAGAAAGAGGAGCTGATAATCGTTAACGGGGATATTTTTGCTCGGGGAGAGAGAGAGAGAGAGCGGCGTCTTTCGCCCCTTTTCCCTCCTCTCATCGCTCAACCCTCATCCCTGCCTGCCTCGCGTGTTTTGCTCTTTATTCTCGAACCTGTTTTTGTCTCTCTCTCTCTTGGAAACTGAATTTACGAGTCACTTAGACGCCACAGCGTCTTTCATACATTATCTGAATTTTGAAGTTTTCCAACTCTTTAGATAAAGAGAGAGATATCTCGCATACAAAAAGAATGTTAAATTAATTTAAAACTCGCAGATTATGTTTCAAGAATTTATAAGCTTATTTTTTTGTTAAAATGGTTTCTTTATTTAGTGTCTTACGTCTTTTATATATAAAAGGACTGATCTTTTTTAATATTGATTAGATTTACAATGTTTTTATCTTTTATCTTTCTGGTAATGACATTTATATATTTTTATTTTGTTTTTTTTTATATTTATAATATTATTATCTGTATTATACATTTATCTTATATACATCTTATTACATTTATTATTTAACTATATTTATTCACATTTGTACTTTTTCTTATTTCT